TTTTATGCCCAGCTGTGTCATAAAGCACACAGACTACGTCCCCTTCGTTAAAGGACGCTAATTAATTAATAAAACTGCTTCCAAATGGCTCTTTAGCAGCGGTGCTCCCCGCAACGCTGCTTCGCAGCCAAATTTTCCTGCTGCTGGAGCCCAGGGGCTCGCAGCTCTGCAGGGTACAAACCTCCCGCTAAAAACCCAGACAGCAGCCAGGGCGAGGAGCATCCCCCCAGAACGCCACATCTAAAAATCTACCAGCAAGAAGGGAGCTCTGCGGGCAGAGCGAGCTTCCGTTCCCACCACTCGACAACCCCCAAAGCCGCATCTTTGCCTGCGGTTAATGCTCCGGGGTCACTTCGGTGCTCGTGCCATAGGGGTGAGCGGCCTCGGAACCAGACATGAAGGGAAAGGACTTGCTGGCCCCCCAAAAAATCAGAGAGCTACAGCTCGCAGGGCTGAGGAGGCGCTGGCCACGAGGACTCGAAGCCTTCCTCCTCGCACACGGGGACGCGTGGCTCCCACGGCCACTGTTGAACCGGCCCAGCGAGGTGCAGGAGCCAGTGCAGCGCCTCCAAGACCGTTTTTTTTGGCTGCGTGGGTTGTGTCGGTGCAATGGGTGGCTGCAGAGAGCGGCCTCGGCTCCCTGCGCCACGGTTCCCCAGGAAGAAGGTATTGCAAGTCAAATAAAACAGACTAAATCTCCAAGCCAGGTTTTCTGTTTCTCCCTCGCTTTTACCTTCAGTATGACTCACGTGAAAAAAAAAAAAAGAAAAGCAACAAAACCAAACCCCAACAAAACAAGCCTGAAAAAGGCTTTTCTAATAGCAGCAACGTTTTGGGAGGAAACAGAAGATTGGAGTCCCCATCACCCCACAGGGAACGTGATATCTTGCAGAGACATCTACAAAACCTTCCCGGGCAGGCAGCTGCGACGCCACAGCCCTGGGCTGGCTCAGAGAGACCCTCGGGTGTCACTCGTGGGCTCCAAACCAGTCAGAGGGGACGCTGTCCTGTATGGGGAGCGGGGAGCAGGGGCTGGGTCAGCCAGGGAGATGGGGGGAGGAAGGCAGAGGTGCCTCGGGAACAGGGAAATGAGTTTTTTCATGCTGAGGAGAGGCAGGGGCTCCAAACACCACCTGGTCCTCGTTTAATCCTTCTGAGTCTGATGGAAACCAGCCCTGCGGTGTTTACCCCATTGCCCAACCTCACGTCCACCTCCGCAGGCGTTTTCCAGACAAATCTGGGAACAGGGAAACTGGAGGCTGGAAACTCAGCAGCCGTATTTCCAGCACAGCCTTATTAAAGCCCAGCACAGCTTCGCTCTGCAGGGCTCGGCTCAAAAAAAAAAAAACAAACAGGGATGGCACGGAGGGAACCGGCCTCACCTCATGCGGAAAAGCAGGTTGAAGTTGGTGTCTTTGCTGATTTTGAAGAGGTGGTTGGGCGGGAGCCAGACACGGCTCTGGGTGTCATAGAGGGCGAAGAGGCTGTAGCACAGCGGCGTGATGCCTGCGAAGGAAACACGATTCCTGTGAGGGGACGCCGAGCCCGCAAAGATTCACGGTCGATAGGGGAAAAAAAAAAAAAATTCAACCCGCCACTTTCTTCACCCCGTTTCTCCCAACTGATTTTACTGGCAGCACAAACCCATCCACGCTACCAACACCCCACCCCCAGGGACCCAGCCGTCCTCCCTCCTCGTCCCCGCTCGCAAATGTCAGAGCCAGGATAGTCTTTAGAACTGCCATTTAAATCGAGAGCCGCGCGTCTGCTGTCCTTCTGGCGCGCTCGGGGAAAGCCAGCTGGCCCGGGGAGCTTCGGCAGCTTTTCTTCCAAATAAACCGCCATGCAGAGCCGCACCGACTGCAGCAAGGGGAAGGGAAGTTAATAAACCCCAGGGGAAACGTGGATTTGCCAGTTAAACCTTAGGTGAGAGCTAAAAGCTTCTCCTAAGGGTTCAAAGAGATGTCAGCTGCCCTTTAATTCAAACACAGCTGCAAAACGGCCCCTCGGACCGTGAAAAGCCCCGGCGCAGGTGCTCGGCATGATTTTTGCGGGAGAAATCCACAGCAAGGGGAGGCAGAAAGCTCATTAAAGAGGGACGCTGATGAGTCAGAGGTGAAGTAATTGCTCTTCAACTCATCACGCTCCAATAATTCCCAGCCCTGCTGGCCAGAGCCTTGGGGTAGAACCATCCCGCCCCACTTCTCAGGAACTCCAGAGCGAGTGGGGATGCCTAAATTCCAACAGCAGGATTTGCCAACAGCCAGTTAGCGGGAAACTGCTTCTTAAAAACACCCCGACGGCTCAGATTTATCAGATAAAACAGCTCAGACAGTCCCAGAGATTAGGAAAGTGGAAATGTCTCCGCCCAGGGCTGCAGCCTGGTTGGGTATTGCGGTGTTGGAAGGGAGATGGAGCCCCCTGAGTGCTCACCGATCCTCCGGGCGAGGTCGATGCAGATCTCCTCGGCGCTGAGCATGCCCTGGGTGTAGGTCTGGCACCTCTCCCGCTCCTCCTCGCCGCTCCAGTGCAGACAAACCTTCACGCCGCCACTTGCCGAGAAGCAGCAGCCGTCAGCGTCCGACTCGCCGTGTTTCGCCGCGCATTGGCACAGAGACATGGCGACGGCCCCCGAGGACGCCCCAGCTGGCGAGAAACAAGAGAAATAAATAAAAACAAGTGTTAGCAAAGCACGGGGCGCTCCATCACCCGTCTCTCCCAGCTGGGTAACTGGGCACCCTCCACCCCGACCCCACGCACCTCGCTGTCAGATGAAGCATAACTCGGTGCCGATCTCCGAAGCCGGCGCGGGAGGGGGCTGTTGGGAAGGGATCTGTTGGTGAAAATCCCGCCGGGTCACCCACCCCCCAGCTCTTCTCCCTGGTCTCTGCCGGTGAAATCCAGCACCTATTCCCTGGTAAATTTTTTGCCACCAGCGCTGCAGCTCGACTTTCCTCCAACGGTGATGAACACCATGGGGAGCTCTTGCTTGGGGCCAGGACTCTCATGTGCCCTCGTCCTCTCGACTCAGCGAGCTCACGGCAAGCTCATGGTGAGCTCACAGGGGTTTTCACCTTTGAAACGAACCCAGGGCCGCAAGTGAGCCGTGCTGAAGCTGCACCCCCCCGCCACCAAAAAGGCTCCGCGATGCCATGTCAACACCAAACACTACACAGGGAGAAGGACCCGGTGGTTTTATCTCCCGCTGCCACCCTGATGATAAGGCAAAAGAAACCAACCTGGGGAGCAAACCCTGGTGCTTTGGGGGGGGCCTGAAGCCTTTTCAAGCATCGTGCTCCACTCGCCACGTCCCCGGCACGAGGGTTCCCCGCGCCCCGCATGCGGGGGAGCGAGCAGAGGGGTGAAACAAGCAGCTCTCACCCCAAAAAGCAGCTGGTTTGGGTGCGGGGTGGTGTTTGGCTCGGGTACAAAAAAATGAGAGGTATAAAGAGAAGCCCCTTTTCCCAGGAATTCTGTGCCAGGGTGGGGGGGTCTTCCCCCTTCAGCAAAGCACCTCTCCAGATCCTCTCAAGGCGAAGCACGTGACAGCATTAGTTCAGCTTCTGCCCACAGGCGTGGAAAGATCCCGAAGCCAAACCTTGGCAGATTTCCCCCAATTCCCTCCTCAGGAGGAGAGTGGAATCCGAAAGAGGCGGCCGCTCCGTCAGCTTCCTCATTTCAAAAACCCGGGGGAAGCCAGCGGAACTGGTCGCAGCACCCTGAAGCGGGTCAGCGGGAGCTCAGCGCCCCTCAAAAAAGTAATAAATCAACTTCAAAAGGCTTTTTTTTTTTTTTTTTGGCAGCCGAGCTCTCTGCTGACAGCAGATGCGGAGACGGCTGAAATTTGGGAATTTAGAATTGAAAAATTTGGATTTCTCAAGTTGGCAAACAAAATAAACCTCCCAACCCCTCCTGCTTGGAGAAGCCCGGAGGGACCCTCGCGCAGCAGGATCCAACCTTCCCCCTGCCGTTATTCGTAACGGGGGCGAGTGCTGATGTTGCAGGGCACAAACCTTCCTGATTTCACCCCAATTTCAGCCGCCGCAGTTGTGGTTTCTCCTCCGTGGGCGTCTCGGGCTCCCAGGACAGGCCTGGGAGGGGGAGAGGGAAGCGAGTTACAAGCCGTGTTTTGCAACCTCGGTGCAGCTGCGCTCCCAAAAGACGCGGCCGGTGAGGATTGTGCCCGTCTCCGCTCCAGACCCGCACGCACTTGGCTACGGTGGGGACTCAGGTCAACAACGGGGGTGCATTTGGACTCATTTCACCCCACAAAGTGGGGGTTCCCCCACCCCAAGAGCAGCCCCTCAAACCTCTGGTCATGTCACGGCGCTGCCGATGGCACCTGCCAGCCCCCGTTTGCTCCCTGTCCCCGTGTTTCTGAGAGGAGCGCTGTACACGTGCCTGTTTTCTGTGTGGTTTTAGGGCAATGGGGCAAAAAACAACCCGGGCACCAGCACTGCCCAGTGCGGGAGGTTTGGGGGGAGCCCCCCAAGAGCTAAACGTGACGGCAGGCTCTGCCTGTGCGGCAGCGTCATGGGGGCAAAGTCCGGGACTGGATGGGGACGGGAAAGCAGAAGCCCCGGGGACCGGCCGCCCCACGGACGGCGGGAGAAGGCAGGCCTAGCGCCCCCCCCCAGCCCCCTGAATCCCAACACAGCCTCCCCGGCCCCAAAGCCCCCCACATCTCACAGCTACACATCCTGACCCCCACATGCCCCAGACCCCCATCTACTGATGTCCCCCCAGGCTCACAAACCCTGACCCCCACCCTGGAGCCTCCCACCCCCCATATCTTGACATTCTCAGCCTAGAACCTCCCAGCCCCACACATCCCGAGCTCCCCAGCCCCACATATCCTGACCCCCGCACCCCACAGCCCCTTAAC